GCCGTGGCACTGTGACACACCCCTAAACCCTAAACCCCTAACCCCTAAACCCCTAAACCCCTAAACCCTAAACCCCTAAACCCTAAACCCTGAACCCGATCCCCCCAAACCCGAAAGCCCTAACCGCCGGTGTCATCCGATCCGAGGCCGGTGTTGGCGAGATTTGCGTGGTGCGCCTCCCTGGGACAGTCGTCCCTAAACCCTAAATCTAGGACATTCTCAGGTGGGTAGTTACCGTTATGGGAGCCTTATCGAAGGTCTGTATACCTTATAGAAGCCTTATAGAAGCCCTATATACCCTAAACTCCCCACCTGTAGTTTCCTTTAACTAAACCCTGAACCCTTTTGGGTCGTTGCTTTCTGAGAAGGCCGAAGGACTCAATACTTGGGCTCTTGGTTTTAGGAATCGTTGTGATGTATTCGTTAGAAGTTAGCGTTTGTTGGAAGTATGTGATCGTTGAGCGCTTGAACCCTTACCATCTTCGTGACTTTTGCGGAGTTTCGTATCTGGGCTAAGCTAGTAGTCTCGCAGGCGCAGAGGCTTCCACGTGCAAAACAAATCGCGGCCTGCTACAACATCACAACCCTCAATACAATTCCTGCGGGTTCCTGGTCGTAACTGTGATATAGCAACCCAAACGCCGGGCCTAATCACTACTCAGGCCGTACTATCCTTTAGACTACCAAGGGCCCCCTCAGCAACTACAAGGCCCTCAATTACAAAAGAAATGGCTTCTGGTAGGCTAGCACACACTCCACGCAAAGCGAATCCTAGAAGCCCAGATTGCCTTTTCTTGTGGGGTTTAGGCTTTAGGGTTTGCTTCTTCACGCCTATGGTATGCATGGCCTCGTAACTTAGCGTCCTACTGTTGATGATCCCTAAACCCTAAACCCTCAACCCTTAAGGACCCTAAGTCATGGGAATTGTGGTATATTCCTTATTTCATGGGTATATCGTCAACCGTAGTCCCCGATAGAACTGCTTGGGTCACGGGAGTTCCTGAGGAAAGCCAAGCGCTGCAACAAAACCTTAAATACTAAACCCTAAACCAAACCCTAAACCCCTGAACCCCTAAACCCCTAAACCCCTAGCCCTAAACGGTTTAGGGTTTAGGGTTTAGAGTTATTGCTAAACCCCAAGCCAAACCCTAAACCCCAAACCCCGAAGCTGAAGCAGCAAAAACAAAGCTTATCCCCGAGCTGGAACTCGCACTGATTCGCGCATCGCGCCCCAACATGGACATCCATGACGACATCAAGCCTACCTTTGTAGGTTTCCTTACAATAACTTCCCTATAACAGCCCTTGAAACGGTAAGTTATTTTGGGGGGTTACGGGCAGCATGAGCCTTACCTTGTATGGCTCAGATATAAGGGGGTGTTATTTGGGATGTCCCTCTCAATGTTTGTTCTTGATTACCTCAGTTCTGGGCCCTGACCACCCTAAACCCTAAACTCCTAAACCCTAAAACCCTAAACCCACCCTGATGCCCTCAAGCATCTATCAGCAAAGCTGCTTGGGGCTCCAGGTTTCGGTGGTCAGGGCTTCATGGTCTTCTCGCTTTTTGGTTTTGGGAAGCCTGACGGTTTAGGGTTTAGGGTTTAGGGTTTAGAGACATTTCGCTCCGGTCGGTCAGGCGCTTCCCCAGCCACCTCGCCACCCACGATTCGCCAAGTTCTCCCTGGACCCGACCAGTGAGGTGGGACGTCTGGGATGAACGTCAGCTCAGCGCCAACTGTCTTACACCCTATAACAGCCCTAGAGTACCCTAAACCCTAAGCCCCAAACCCTATAAAAGCCCTCTAGTACACTAAACCCTAAACCCTATAAAAGCCCTATAAACCCTAAACCCTATAAAAGCAAGCCCTATAAACCCTCAACCCCTAAACCCTATAAAAGCACTAAAGCACCCTAAACCCTAAACCCCTAAAGCTCTGGGACTCAAACAGCATTCTCAACCCAAAGACCCTAGGCCTCAAGGCTCTGTTTAGGGGTTTAGGGTTTAGGGCTTAGGGCTTAGGGTTAGAGTTTAGGGTTTAGGGTTTAGGGTTGAGGGTTTAGGGTTTAGGGGTTTAGGGGTTTAGAGGTGTAGGGTTCAGGGCTTGGGGTTCAGCAGCTCCGGATCGANNGCAGTTTCTAGTCGAGCTTAACTCCGCAATTCATCCCACGCACCCAAGTTTCCCACATCAGTAGCAAACCATTATACTGTTTTTAATAGCTTAATGCTGAAATCCTAAACCCTCAGCCCTCAAAAAGACACCGGCTTCGTTGCAAGGGTAGGGCCGGCAACAGAGGGGGGTTGTTGCAAGGAGAGGGTGGGATTCGTTGCAACAGATGCCCTGGGAGAGGGCAGGCAACAGAGGGGGGGGCTGTTGCAAGGAGAGGGCCGGATTCGTTGCAACAGATGATGCCGGGGAGCGGGGGGGGGGGGGCAACAGATGAATT